GGCGGGCGGATGGGCGCGCGAGAAAGAGGCCCGCGCTGGGGCGAGAACGCCATCCTGAACGACGGAGGCAAAACACCGATCCGACAATGAGGCCCACGCTGCAGCGGGAGCACGATTCGGAACGATTCGGGAGCAGAAATGAGGCCGGCGCCTCAGCGAGAGCAGCATTTTGGAAAAAAAACGCAGGCGAAAACCCAACTCCCGGGAATCCTGTGTGTAAAAAACAGTACGCGGGGGGGGTCGGCCACTCCCAGCACGCCATCAGGGGAAGAGGGAGAGTAGTATTCATATTGAGAAATTGTGGAGGAGGAGGAGGAGGAGGAGGACAAGGAGAGCAGCAAGAGGCAGAGGACGAGGGAAGGGCTAGGGATGACCGCGCGTTCTCTCCGCAGTGGCTAGGCCGTGCACCAAGCTCTCGTCGGTGGGCCGGTGCTCGGCAAGCCTTCCGGCGAGAGTAACGATGCGGATGAAGACGACAGCGGGGATGAGCTTGAGAATGAGGATGGGGACGGGGATGGGGATAAGCATTTGGATGAAGATCCTGTGAAGTACATGGAGGGCGGGGATGAGGACAAGGACCAGGATGAGGATGGAGGTGCGAAAGAGGACAAGTGTGAGGGTGAGGACGAGTGCGAAAGACATCATGGTCAAAGCTCGATGGGGCCAATTCACATGTTTGGTGAAGTAAGCAATCCCACTAGGCACTGGGCCTCTGGCTAGCAGGTGGTCCAAAATTTCTCGCTGAATCTCCCACTCTCCCTCTCTCTCTCTTTCTCTTATAGATATATCACTCACTCACTTTATGTATTTCTTTCTTTCTTTCTCCCTCTCTCTCTCTCTGAAAATATATGTTTCTCTTGTTGTTTCATGTTTTTGTTTCTCTCTCTCTCTCTCTCACTTGTTCTCTCTCTCTCTGTATATCTAATAGCGCCGGCCCAACGGGCAAGAGGAGTGCCAAGACCTCCAGTTTAGAACACTTCAAATTCGTGCGCGCGGGGCCGCCCTTGGGGGTCCCTGGACGACGGGTACCCCGGCAAGGTCCTGGCAAAGTCCCCGCAAGGATGCCGGAACTCCCCGGGGCCATCTTCCGGACGCCCAAGGGCGCTCCAGGAGCGCCCCGCGGGAACCAATCGGAGCTCCAAGAAGGCACTCCAGTCGAGATCCATGGGAACCAGGCCCCGAAATGGCCCCAAGAGAATCACAAGAGGCTTCAAGATACCACCAAAATGACCCCAGACAGCCCCAAGAGCGGCTCCGGAGGCCCAAACTCATAGACCTTACCTGGATATTTGAAGGATTCTGCCGTTTGTGCCTTTTCGATCTTCCGACCGCTCGCGGTGCAATCTATCTTGTGCATTCTACCATGGTAAATTGGGCATTCGATGTGTGCTGCAGCCTACGTTGCGCAATCCATGCTGTGCAATGTGAGTGGTGCAACCTATGTGGTGGCGACGAGGCGGCGACGGGGCGACGACGGCAACGACTTGGCCACCAGACCAGCACGCAGGCCCAGGCGACGGGAGGCGACGGGGCGGCGACGGCGACGACATAGCCGCAAGACCGACCTTCAGGCCCAGGCGACGGGGCGGCGATGGGGCGGCGACGGCGACTACATGGCCGTTAGACCGACCTTCAGCGCCTGGCTCCTCACACCACAAGGAAGAACCCCTAAGTGCAAGCACTGTTCGGGGAATATGTGTGTATGTATACAGATAGAGAATATGAAGAGAGTGAGGGAGAGAAACAGAAACAAAAGAAGAGAGAGAGAGAGAGAGAGAGAGAAAAAAGTAAAGAAATAAATAAAGAGAGAGAGAGATAGAGAGAGAGAGAGAGACGAAACGAAAAAAACGTCCGCGTTTGGTTGGATGGGGCATGGAAGTGCGGTTGACAGTCATGTGTCTGACATGTCGCAAGCACGCTTGTCTTAGTGGGTCGCCACCGAACGGTGTCAAGCTCAGGCGTACGTGAGCATGTGAAAAGTCAAGAGGAGGATGAGGAAAAGTAAGGGAGAGAGGCTTGAATGGAGGAGAAGCTGGGAAAGGATAGCGATGAGGAGGAAGATAGAGAAGGTGCGAGAAGGAGGAGGAGTAGGAGGAGGAAGTGCAAGATAAAGACGAGGAGGGCATTGTGATTCACAGACTGTGACATTGGCGCTGGGCGAGGCGCTTGAACTCCAGTCGCGACGCTTCTGCCGAGTTGACCGCGCGTGACTGGCCGCTGGCAGTGCATGGTATGCGCTCGAACGCGCCGCCCTGGAATGATCCTAACGATTCCACTCCCCGAAACGTGCGCACATACACGTG